AAAAAATGCCGTTCAAGGTTTATGTGATGCAGTTATGCCTTCAGAAGATGGCGGTACTTGAAATTCTTAGTCCTATACACCAAGAGGCCCCCAAATGTCCTTGGTGTTTCAGCTTTTACCCTTATAACTGTTTTTGGTCACAGCCTGATTCTGGGAACAACTAGTCACTACAAATGACTACTTCTGGGGGCAGGGGTGGGGGGGAAGCTATCTAGAGAACCTCTCAAGTGATTCCTAAATCGAAGAATGAAGAGTTTTATTTTGTGAATTATAGCTATTAGAAGCTGTACTGGGGTTTTTGTTCTTTCTTCTCACATTATCATGAACTAGGATGCATGAATGGTTAAACTACATCTACCACAGTAACTATATTATAGACATTTAGCCAAAATTAGGCCAGCAAGCAGCATATTAGGAACACCCAGTGTGTACACATTTTAAAAGATCTTTAAGTTATAACAATGATTTTTGTATCCATTAACCAGCTACCTGTATTATTAAACAAATTAGTACTACTTTTTGGACTACAGAGGCACAGTCCTATAGGAGCATCAGAAATAACAGCTCATTTTGGGAAAATGTGCTTAACCCATATTAATTATTGCTAGCTTGGAAAAAGATCAAAATTCAAAATCTGAGGTACGGGTTCTACTGAATGTATATCACTTTTGCACCATCATAAAGTCGAAAAACCACAAGTTGAACCACTGAAGTCAGGAACCATCTGTATGGGATTGATAGATGAATGCTAAGTTGGGCTGATGACATTTTCTTCTAGCATGTCAGTGTTTTGAAGCTATGGGTAAGCTTTCTTTCACACATTACAGAAAGCCTTAGTGATATATACCAAGAGCCTGAAACAGATGCAAATTGTACAAAAATGCCTTCCCTTAAAGGAAGTGGCTGAGTGTCCAAGAAGCACTCTAGGTCTGGGAGAGCTGCAGGCAGAGAGGACATTACCCTATGTTTGGAAAAGGCTGCCTTTGGATAGTTAACTTTCATAAAAGTGGTGTCCATTTGAAGCAAGTATCTTCAAGCACTTAAATCTAAAAGGACTTCTGTGGAAGTATAAGCCCCAGAGTATACATCTGAAAAGGCTGACTGCCTATTGATCCCAAGCGTACAAATGTTAGTAGAGATTTACCTGTACTAATATTTCTTATTAAGACTGTTTTTATTAGGGCTCTGGTTTTAAAGTTCTGCTTTCCCTACCAAGTCTTTTTAGGACTCTGCTTTCCCTCCCAAGGCTTACTTTCAGTGCATGATTTTGTAGAATTCAGACATTTAGTTAATACACGTTTGGCATTTAGCAGACTGTAGAATGCAGTCCCTGGCTCAAGGAGCTTAAAGTTAAGTAGGGCAGTAAATCCAAATGGAAGAGTAGGGGGGCAGTCTTTAAGACTGTTTTGTTAGTGTTTCTCACTCACAACTGTGCCTGGATTCCACGCAGAATCAAGTCATTTCTATTTCTCTTTTTAGCACTCTAACCTATTTTGCTGCCAGATCATCCTCAAGCTTGAATACATTTAAAATGTAAATGTTCCTTGTTCAAAACTAAGTGTTCCTCTCCTGCCTAGCAACTCCTTAGCCTAATAGTTAAGGTGCTCTTTTTCAACCATTATCTGTCCTATGCTATCCTAAGCTGTGGCTCAAGTAACCCACAGCCCCAAGTTTTGCTGTTTGTGATACTTGGTCCTTCCTCTCTCACTGACTGAAATCCAGCTCCAGTGGATCTTAACCCTGGAGCATGTGATGGTACTTTTCCCTTATTTTATTTCCTTTTATATCAGTCATTTGTCTATCTTCCTGCTAGAGTATGTTTCTTAGGAGTTGACACTTCATCTCTACAACCCTGTTCAAACTATCATATATGCAGTATGTTCAAAAGAATCTATTTTTGGTTACCTTCTGTGAATGTATTATCCTCCTCCTCTGTACAAGCACAATATCCCAGCTACTCTATGGGATGCTTATTTGTCGGCTTGTGTGGAAGCCCAACTGCCAAAACTAAGGGTGGTTCCCTACAGGAAAAACTAGCTAGAGAGGATCAAATGAACAGGAGATTCAGAAATAAAGCACCTGGGGTTCAAAATTATCTGCCAGCTTCTTTGACCTTGGGACAAATTATGTCTGCTGCCTAATTTCTTCCTGTACAAATGCTAATTCTTATTATTTACCTCACAGGGACGATAAAATGGGCAAATATAAAAACACCCCCCAAAAAATAAGACTGTGCTGTTAGGACAACCTTCTTTCCTAAAATAACCTGTTCTCAACTATGGGCTACTGAGAACTCCTTCAGTACGAGGAGAACCATACTGGAACACTGCGTAACTTTTTGTGGTCAAACAGCAATTACCATTTTATTTCAATTGGCACTCTATAAACATTTCATCCTAAAATAAGGCATACATTTAAATCTCCCAACCAGGACCTAGGTATTGTTAACCCAGTAGGGGCAAAAATTCTCACCTATTAGCTAAAGAGGTGGATTCAGGCTGTTTTGTATCCTATCCTTGGAAGGCTACCAGTATAATTTCAACAGAGTGGGAATAAATTCATAGCAAAACAGCAAGATGTCCAGGAAAGCTAATAGGGTTCACTTTGTAACTATCATATAATAGAAAGAGCCCCAAATATACACAACTACAGAAATGGAGATCCTAAAGAGATAAAACACACATAAAGGTTGGCTGTGCATTTTACTTAGAGAATTCTAGAGCCTTCCCTTAGTACATATTCTGACTTGGTTTCTCAGTCTGCACTGTACCAGATTTACCAAGTTTTACGTAACAGATTTCTCTAATACTCCAGAGCTTGCTCCTTACTTCATTTTATCTAATGGCAGTAGTCTCTTGACTCAACTAGAGGCTAGGAATTTAGCATTTATTACAGTAGGAACAACTTCCAAGCACAAACGTAATTCACTGATCCACTAAGGTGATTTCTGAAGCTCTCTTCAGGCTTCGCTTTACCATTCACACAATACAGATCATTTCAATTTCTTCCCATTTCCTGTATTTTCTCCTGGGAACGGTTTTTTTTTTAAACAAAGCCTGAATTCCAAGTTCAGGTTATGGCAAGACTTCAAAGTCATCACTCCCAGAAAGAAAGGCTTGGTTCCAAGCTCAGCCTCACAAAATCTCTCATTCAGCAAATAGCGTGCATCCAATTGCTAAGGAGCCCTGTGCCAAGAGCCCAGCATCAGGAACAGGGACTGGATCCTGAATGCTCAGTCTACCACTTCCTAATTATGTCATTTGGGGAAAGTACTTAAGACCTGCCACCGTCTCCTCACCTATAAACCAGCACTAAGAGGATGAAATGTAACAAACTCAGGTTTTCAGGAAAGCACTCAACTAAGAATGTGATTACACAATAGTGAGTAAATCAGGTAAGATCCCTGACCTATCTTGATCACTTTGGGCTATTTTATATCGAAAGCTTGTTTTTTCCTAACATGGCCCTTCCCTCAAGGATTTTCTAATCTTTTTAAAAACAGAATATACTTAAGGCTGGTTGACTATTCTGTGCATGTTACATCTTTCCCCTTCCACATTCTAGCTCTCCAAAGTGGGCCCAGTCATAGATGCAGACCTGTTTCTTCGGAAAACTCAAGAAAATTTAGGTTTTAACACTTAAAGGCCCCCAACTGAGGACTGATCAACACTAAAAGGCTTGGTTTCTTTTCAAAAAATAAAGGCAAGACAAGAGTTTGAAGAGCACCATTTTGAAGCACTTTGATTTTTGTTAGCATAGTAAGAACCATGCTACCGAGTGTACACTATGTCATACTCATCCTAACTACACGGATTAGCAATAAGGAAGCCATTAAAATTTCCCGTCTCCAGCTTTAGCCTGGTATTTTACTGGACACAGTTGGTTATGGAAGCAGAACTCTGTTAATTTTTTCCCTAATGATTTTAGGAGTGGCAATACTTTATAAAAGATTTTCATGGCTACCAATCAACTATTATGGCCTTAAGCAAATTTAAAACAGTGAACCATTTTTAAATTAAATAAATGTAACTGAAATAAGGAAAACCTCAAGGGCCTCATATCAACCCAACGCAGGAGGGTAAATTACAGAAGATTGACTGCTTACTCCTAGAACAAGAAAGGCTGCTCCTCTCCAGATGTCAAACCAAACACAGCAAAGTAAAGAAGCCTTGATAAATATGCTGAGAGCTAGAGATTAGGGTCTGAAAATGGCAACTTTGCCGACCTCTAACCATCTTCTCCCTCCGGCGTTATTCCACATTTTTCACTAGCCATCTTTCTGCTGTCAGAAAACTTTAAAAGAGAAGGCCATTAAAAAATATATATATATCAAGTATAATTATGCCAAGTGCTTGCGAGTTAAGGGTCCACTTAAAAGTGGGATTTTAAAAAACCAGACCGAATGGGGGTTTCATTTTAAAGTACGGCGTCTGTTTGGCTATTCCACAAACATCCCTAGGTTTAATCCGAAAACGCAAACTGCTGTAACGTGGAAGGAAAATATAACAGAGGCAGAGGCATTAGAGCTTGGGCTGCAACACGCCATTTCTGCCGCCTCTGTTAGCACTCGAGGTTTATCTGGCTTTACACTCAATTCGCGTGTTAAGATGGTGACTCCCGCCAGAAGCGACCTCTACGGCCTGGGACCTTCCCGCCGGCCGGGAGGCGTCTCGGCCTCAGGTCCTCACGACCGCCCAGCAGAACATAGGGCTGGGCCTGCCCCTTTGTCTCCTCTATCAACCCAAAGAAGGGAAGGAAGGAGAAAGGAAGGAAGGAGAAAGGAAGGAAGAAAGGAAGGGGGGAAGGAAGGAGGGAAGGAGGGAGGGAGAGAGGGAGGGCGGGAAGGAAAGAGGGAGGGGGCTAACTAATACCTCCCAGCCCCGGGGCCAGAAGAAGGGGCAGGGCAAGGACCCCCACCCTGGCCCGCACCGGCCCCCCGCCCCCCGGCCTGCTCCGGCGCCCCCGCCGCGGAGGGCACAGAGCGCGCTGGCGGCCCTCACCTCGTCCTCCTGCTCGCTCCGGAAGCACAGGCACGCCGCCCGCTTCTTGAAGCCCTCGCGGTCATAGGTCCGCGTCTGGTTGGGCTTGAACTTCATCATAGAGGCGGGCTCTTGCTGCCGCTGCTGCTCCGGCCGCCGCCGCGGGGACCCGGCCGCCGCCACCCCGCCGGGGAGTTGGGGCGCGGGCGAGTCGGGGCACACGGGTGCCGGGAGGCGAGGCGGCAACGCGGGGAGTGGCAACGAGGTCGGTCAGTCCCGGAGCCGGCGGCCGCTTCGACGTAAAGCAGGGCGCAAGCGCCGGTCACTGCAGCCCGGGTGCCGGAGAGGAAACGCCGCCTCTGCCCGGGCGTCCGCCGCTCTCCATGGAGCCCGCCGCCCGCTCGCCTCCGCTCCCTCCTGCTGCTGCTGCTGCCGGCAACGCAGTCTCCGTCGCCGCCGGGGGAAGAGCGAGGCTCGATGCTCGCGCCACAAGGAGACAGTTATGAGAACCCACAGCGACTAAGCAGCAACGCCGCAGCGGCTTCGCACCGCCCCCACCGCCCCTCTATTTAAGTGGGCCCGCGCAGCCCCGCCCCCGCGCGCCCCGCCCTGCGCGCGCCCCCGCGCCTGCGTGCCGGGACGGTTGCGGCGGGGGAGGGGCGGCGGGGGGTGGGGTGTCCGCCGCGCGGCAGCGTGGGTTCCTCGCAGCCTGAGGATCTGGGGCTGCGTTCAAGCGCTGGCTGCCGGTAGCCCGCCAAAATACCCGTGAGGAGGAAGAGGCAAAGACCCCTCCCTCCCTGTTTATAAACACCGCTACCTGCCCCGTGGAGACCTTAAATATCACCTCCAGGAGAGGAGGTCCAACTACGTACATCCTCACAAAATGTTGCACCCCGGTCAGGAAATGCCTGGAGGCATCGCAGCGATGGCAGTCTCCGCAGTGACTGACGTCCCGAATTCGCCCGTGAGGTGCGGGGAGACGAGAGGGTGAAGGCCTAGAAAGGGGAAGACGTTGATTAAGAGGGTTCGTTTGGAGGGTTTTAGGGGTTTTGCTTGTTTTCCAGAGGAAAGAGAGAAGGCACGTTTCTTTTTTTTTTTTTGTTCTTTTAATCTTTGGTTAAGGGGTCGTTTGTATTCTTTCAAGAGTCCGTTCGAGCTTGAATATTTCTTTGAAGCTATGGGTAACATCTTCCACTTTGTCCCACGCTCCGGAATGTATTCATTAATACTGGCAATGGCTAATATTTACGAAGTGTTTTGTGCTTGCATTTCATGCTAAGTAACAGGCACAGCTAGGTACTGGAGCCACACGCTAAATAGAATAGGATTTCTGCTATCTGGGAGTTTCAAGTCTTCTGGGGACTTGGGACGAACAACCTTTCCATTTCAGAGTGTCACTCACGTTTTAAGATTGGAGCCAGGAGGCCCCCGGTGTTAAGGAAGCCAACCCAATCCATCCTGCCCCCTCCACAGAGCCCAGGCTACTTAGTTCCAGACACGTGTGACTATTCGGTTTTCATTCCTAGAGGGCCTACTGTGTGCCAGACACTGGCATCTAAAACCAGCCCCTGCCCTTCCAGGATCTTTGGCACCTGAGAGCAGATATAGTCAGATATCAAACAATCACACGAGTACACGTAAAACTACAAATGTGATAAGGTTGAAGGTGGTGGAGGGTTTCCCAGGGAGATATGACCAGACCTGCGAGTCAGAAAAGGCTTCTTGAGGCAGGAGGTCAAGAGCTTTGGTCAAGGGCCAGAGGAGGGGGAGCTAAGGCCACCAAGAGCCTGGTGAACTTTCAAGGCTGAGGGAACTGGGACATATGTAGAGCAAGGAGAAATGAGTAAAGGCCCATGCGGCTGCAGAGAGGGTGGGGGTAGCTGGGTTCCACCTTTGGCCCAGGGGACTGTGAGGCCTGACTGTTCCCAGTCTGGGGTCCCTGGGAGAGTCCAGAGTAGGGCACTGGTCTTCCTGTTCTAGATTTTGACCTCCAGGTTCATGACCGCTGCATCTAACTTCATCATCTTCTTATCTCCAGGGCCAGGCAGATGCAAGTTTGTACAATAAGTTAATGTTGAATAAGTGATTTAAGAAATGAGATTTTACCATGGCACAATTGGAAATCTTATCAAGTCTGTGCAGGGACATTTTCCAAGCCTTAGCGTTCTTACAGAAGCCGCCTGAAGTTTATTTCCCGATTTATAAACAGGGACGGAACACATGTAGCTAGGGGCTCCATTTTGGCTAATATGCAAATATTATTTTTAGATAAATGGTTCAAATTGATAAAATGATTAATCTCACCATGGTCTTTTTAAATGATAAAGAACATTAAGTTTCTCTCTGCTTTAAAGGTCTAGCTTCTATTTTGTGTTCAGTGAATATTAGTTGATTGGATGTTGATCTACTCAAATCTTTCCCATTTAGTAATTACATGAGGTGAGGCATGAATCAGAATTAACTGAGGAGGAAAAGAGGAAGATGGCTGGAACAGACTCACTGAAGGGAGGAAAAACTGCACAGAAAACTGGCGAGCATGAGCATGGGGCCACTTGCTTCAGGTTCCAGACCATTGCATTTGGTTGAAAAGATCTTGAGTTCAGGTCTCACCTGCACCAATCACTAAATGTAACTTTTCTCACCTGTCAAATAGATATAATATCATTTATACCATCTTCTACAAGACCACAGTGAATCTGAGGGTGCTTTAAGACTATAAAGCATTTAAACATAGATTGTTATTAATAAGGACATTTTCTTTGGAGATCTATCCTCCTCCTCCGTTTCCTCAGGGAATAGAGGAATAATGCAGAGGGCCAGGTGCTTGAAAGGGCTGTGAGTTGTGAGGGAACGGTTTTAAAAGGAATTTTGCAACAATTGATTTGAAGGGAAGAATGCTATTCTATAAATAACCACCCCCTACTTTTTTGTTAGTTAATTTATTTATTGAGTTAGTTTTTGCAATTATTTGAGAAACACCTGAGAGAAAAGGAAATTTTTGTCTGACTAAAATGAGAGCATAGGGAAAGGCCGAATTACAATGCTGGATCTTCATTTTCCTACGTCAGTTCCTCAGTAGTAGGGTGCACACCCCAGCCCAAAGCTCCCTGCTTAGTATTGTCTAACAGGTATTATGCATCTGAAATGCGCTTAGGCACTGTTCAAAGCTTAGATCATATCCAGCCAGATCACAGTTGAGATAGACATGAGGTTGTTTTTCCTCTGCAGGGCCAGTAAGGACTGGGCTACACCGGCCGGTTTCCTTGGGGATCAGAGTCCAATTTCAGGTTAATCTGTTTAGTGCACTTAGCATAGTGTTGTCTTACCTGGAACTTATTACACACGGAGCCATTTCCTGTACTATTTTCAAATACTTGGAGCCATCAGAGAGGAGAACTAACATTCCCTCTCCAGGGTACTTCTTTTCCCAGGGTCTTTTTATGGGAGGCAGTGCAATAGGGGTGCCGTGCAGGGAGCTTTCTGCCTTCTCTTGTAATTGACTCACAACATTACCATAAAGTAAGTTCTATCTCTCAAGGTAAAACTGATCATGCCAAATCATCCGTTCCTATGTCTTTCCAATGATAATAATAGCTAGTCATTACTGAATGTTACTCAGTGCTGGGTGCTTGTCATGATCATATTTGAATGATCCCAACAGCAGCATTATGAGACAGCTACTATTTATCATCCCCATTTTACAGGCAAAGAAACAGGGATGGCCTTTCTCTCTTTGCAGCCAATATTCTTAACTCCTGCAATGTATCACTGTAAGCTTGTCTTGCCTCTTTTATTACATGGTAATTATTTTGTATGTGTTATGTTCTGACACTGGGATTTCTTTCCATTTTAAAATGAAAAAGGAGCTTTGTTTAAGGTAGGATGGTAAGAGAAGCTCTTCTAGTGCAAAATGGAAGTGGAAGTCTTGATTACAATTTCATGTCATCTAAAGTGATTTTGTTTCTTTTACAAAAGGCACAGATTAGAATGGAATAAGCAATAAACTAAAGCTTTGGGATTAAAAATCCTAAAAAAGGATTAATGCAACCAGCATTAGCAAGACTTTAAAAGAGACTGGTTTGCCTGTTTATAAACTTCTCTTTCATTGAAGTAAAGAAATGATTTTCAGATTTACAACTCATTTTCTATTTCCTCAATTCCTGTTTACTGCAGAGCACTTTGCTTCACATGCATCATGTTTACGTGCAGTTCTGGGTGGCTAATAAAAGTGTTTACTGGGAAGCACAGCTCCCACTTTCCTTCTTTATCATTCAGGGAAAGGTATGCCAAGTGCTTATCTCCTCAGCAAAGGCAGTGACTAGACGTTTTCATCACCTTCTTCAGGACAGCATTTTAAACTCCTGCTTCATCCAGAATTGCTTCTTTTTGCTACATAACAATTCTGCTATTTTCATTTGAGGAGAAAAGCAAAAAAAAAGAATATTTGCCCATAAGAGACATGTTACTCAATTGTAATGTGTGGACCTTGTTTTGATATAGATTAAAACAAATGAAAAATAAACAAGAAAAAAGACATAGGGCGATTAGGGGATGTGAACACTGGTTTATGATATTAAGCAACTGTTATTTTGGGGGGCTGTGATGATGTTTGAAAAGGGAACTCCTTACCTCTTAGAGATATATACTAAAACATTCAGAGCTGAAGTGATATGATGTCTGAGATTTCCTTCAAAATAATCTGGGTTGTTGGAGCAGGGAGGATGGGTTGGGAGTGTGGAGGAAACTAGAGAGGCCATGAGCTGATTGTTGTTGAGGTTGTAAGCCATTAGGAAAATGGAGGAGAGGAAGGAAACCGAAAGGAGGAGAAGAGAAATATTTTATATTTCATGGGGCATGGAAATGAAACTCTGTTAGAAAGAAGATGTACACACTCATGATATAAGTATTAGATTCTAGAATGATGAGAATAACCAAAAGTGCAGTTTGCAAGTTATGCAATGTTTTTATAAAATATAAAATAGAGAAATAGGACATAAAAATTACCTGTGCAAAAAGTTGTGACCAATATTATTTCATGAATTGAAAAAAATTTAATGGTTATTTCGATGTGAAAATTTAATAGTGATTGATTTATCAGCATTCATCTTTGTGTGGTGAAACAGAATTTCATTCTTAGAACTAGACTACAATGGGCGCCTGGGTGGCTCAGTTGGTTAAGCGACTGCCTTCAGCTCAGGTCATGATCCTGGAGTCCCAGGATCGAGTCCCGCATCGGGCTCCCTGCTCAGTGGGGAGTCTGCTTCTCCCTCTGACCTTCCCCCCTCTCGTGCTC